TTTCATAACAGCTGAAGGTAACTGGGATAAATCTAGTGCCAGCTGGAATTGAATTGCTCAGATTGAATCTGAATGTGCATAATATGAAATTGAATGCATTGGTTTCAAAATAAATTTCACTAAATTGAAACTGAATTTAATGGTTTGAAACTGAATTTAAAGTTTGTATCTGAATTAATTTGCTTTGAAACTGTATTTTGGTTTATTAAAAAATTCAATTTGACTACTTTCACTTTCAGTTCCAAAACTCAGATTTTTGTGTCACATCCTGGTCCTTGAGAAAGCCAGGCAGAGTAATCAAACACAGATCCACAGATTTATGTTTCACTTTGGTGAAGTTTCCCTTCTGTATGTAACWGTTGATGCAATCCACTGTAAAAGTGACAAAAACAGACAAAATTATTTTATTGCAGTGTTTAATTTTACCTTTATGTAAAAACGTTACATTTACATCCCATTATGGATCACATATTGAACAGGTGCTGCTGCTGACTGATCCATGTGACATAAATGTAACATTTTCTACATATAGGTACAATTAATCACTTAAATGCATGTAAATAACATTGTCTGTTTTTGTCACTTTTACAGTGGATTGCATCAACTGTTACATACAGAAGGGAAACTTCACCAAAGTGAAACCTAAATCTGTCGATCTGTGTTTGATTACTGTGACTGGTTTTCTCAAGGACCAGGATGTGTGACACAAAAATCTGAATTATGGAACAGTGAAAGTAGTCAAACTGATTTTTTAATAAAGTAAAATACAGTTTCAAAGCAAATTACAGATACAAACTTTAAATTCAGCTTCAATTTAGTAAAATTTATTTTCAAACCAATGCATTCAATTTCAAATTATGCACATTCAGATTCAATCTGAGCAATTCAAATTCAGTTCCTGCTGGCACAAGATTTATCCCATACATAACAGTTACTTGATTGTGGTGTAGAATTGAACTAAGTACCTGGAAAATACGTAATAAATCTTTAAAAATCCAATAAACAGGCCAGTACATCAGAGCAAATCTTTATTCATCTTTAAGAAATGTGACCCAGCACTTTTAATGAACAAACACATGAGGCATCACTCTGGAAGCATTATTCTAATGAAATCAATAAACAGATTAAAAAGAATGGAGCAAAGGTATGCACCTAAAAAGAAAAAAAAAAGATTGTAGAAATGCTATTTCTGTTTCACTACATATACAGATAAGAACTGAACACACAGCATGTCAGAATAGATCATTTTAAATRATCTCAGCAGGTTTTTGTTTGTAAAGTCTGTCTGGTTGGATGCTTATCGAATACCTGCAGCTACGTTGAAACGACGTCAGCAGATCTGTGCTGAGGGYGGTTTGGTTTGACATTCACAGCAACCAGGTGGTTATTTTAGCTCATCAAGGCACTTCACAGGTGCAGGGGAGAGGTTAGGGTTAGGGTCGAAATATACGCAGTTTGGCTTCTCGTTTTTTTTTATAGCTATTCAGCGTCTACTTTAACCATTTTGACTTGGTTTTCTTGCTTTAATGCCATGTTAGCTTACATGAGAACCACGCTCCAATACTATCTGTACAACAGTCTGTCACTAACATTCCAGGCACACAAACTCTGATTTGTCACAAACAAGTCATTAATTGTGCCTCAATAAAATATTAGTCATTCAAGGTTTTCACCTGTTTTAGTTTGAGTGTTCGAAAGAATGACAACCCTTTAAAAAAACACCCAAGTCACTAACATTTTCTTCAAATGTTTTGCATAATGTTTCAGTTTATTACAGTATCGACAATCTATTGTACAGAAAAGATGGAGGAGGTCATCATATCTCTCTCTCTCTCTCTCTCTCTCTCTCTCTCTCTCTCTCT